GTAGGGAAACCATAGAATAAGTCCAAGATGGACAGAAAGCTGTGCCCAGATGTTAAGAATGCCCACTTGGTCACTGGCCTACTGCATGCAACAGAGATGTTTTTTCACTAAAACAAAATACATGGCCTCTATCTGCAGGGTAGAGCGGACATAAGCAGTCGAATGGAGGAAGCATAGGATAGAGAAAGGAAGTTCTATGTTTTAATCATGGCTCAAACCCTAATGCCCTTTGCAGCTCTGATAATCACAGCCTCCTCCCTAGTGCTTACAAAGCAAAGCAACAGTTTTCTCCCTCTTGTGTGTCTTTTCTGGAGGTGACAGGAAAAAGTAGTTTCAAGCTTGCAAGAAATTCCATTTTTTGGAACCAAATCAAACAAAAACCTTCCTGAACTGCCTATGAGCCAGAAACTCCCCAGATCCATAGCTCTTTAGTGATGCTGGTGGTCTTGTCAGTTTCACAGCTGCTGTTACTTTCAATTCAAGTTCCTTTTCACTAAAATGGGCTGATGCCAAACTGTTTTGATTGAAATATTTTGAACTCAACTAATTCATATTTTCTGATGAAAATTAAGTGTCATCATGAAGTTTCCAAGCCAGCTCTAGTCTGTACTTGGCAATAAGACAAAGAAACCTTATTGAGGGGGGAAGCCTACACACCACAAGAAAGGTATAGCACCTTGAATTATTAAATTCCCTCCACAAAAATATCAGGAGAAATATACTCTCCAATTCTACTAGAGAGATGTGAAGGCCTAAAGACAATGAAAAACAGGTTTGGACAAAGGGGAGGGGGACCATCGAGTATGAGAAATAAGTGTGTTGGGGGGGAAAGGAAGGGATGGGGGTTACTGAAGAGGGGAGTTGGCTGCAAACTTGAGAAAGAGGAAAGAAAACAGGCAAGAAGCTGTAATAAGATAAATCAGATGTGAAACAACAGCAAACAACCAGAAGAGCTACACAATAAAGACAACTTTTGAATTATCCAATTTTTATATATATTTTATTATATCTTTGTGAGCATTACTTTGCAGGAAAGTGTAGAGATGATTTTTTTCTGCATATGCTACATTAGTATGGTTACTTATTAAGGGACTCTAGAGTGAGTGAAGGAGGAAAGGACAGACAATGAGAACGCACACAATGCTGAGAGAGGGAAGCCTTGTATTTATGTGTATTATATTGATTTGTAAAACTTTTGGCAGCTACACAAGCTATGCTATAACCACTCAGGCTTCACAAAGGTACCATCAAGATAACAAAACCTATCTTGTCCTGCCCAGTTAAGTTTTATCAGGCCTCTCCCCCTAAAAATCACCTGTATCCCATTTTTCCCAGAATCCTACAGGTGGCTTTGTGAAGGGTTGTGTGATCACTACTGGCCATTTTGGGAACCAGAGAAATATTTAAGCTATTTCACAGTTCCCCCCAAATTCTACAATGAAAACAAGCTAGAATCCAGTCATTTTTTTCACATCCTGTTCTTCATAAGAACATCAGTCTCCAAAGTGAATGAACTGGGGGGGGGGGGGGCACTGCAACCTCTTTGCTTATGACCTTTACCCAAAAAACCCCATAACACCCTTGCCTGCTGCGTGATGGCTTTGTTTGCAACAAATCGGGTATTCATCATGTACTGCAAGTTCTTCTTCAAATGATTCACAGCCTTGTTCTTCTGATACTCATCTAGAACATGATAGAGAACAGCACAGCATCTGCACATATATATTGTACAACAGAGACAGAGGGTGCGGTATTAGGGGGGTAGGACACAGGATGTTACAATCCAAGTGGAATGTGATGTGGCACTACTACTTGAAGGGGCAAAGCTTCCTGCTTGGGAAGTTTGGAGTACTGCATTCAGTTTTGGGGCCCCCTACTACAGAAAGGATGTGGACAAACTGGAGGGAGTCCAACAGAGGGCAAGAAAAATGGTTTGGGGCTGGGGCACATGACTTATGAGGCTGAGGGAACTGGGCTTATTTAGTCTAGAGAAGAGAAGACTGAGTGGGGAATTGATAGCAGCCTTCAACCACCTGAAGCGGGGTTCAAAAGTGGATGGAACTAGACTGTTCTCAGTGGTGGCAGATGACAGAACAAGGTGCAAAGGTCTCAAGTTGCAGCAAGGGAAGCTTAGATTAGATATCAGGAAGAACTCTGTCATGAGGAAGGAAGGAAAACACTGGAACACGTTACCCAAAGAGGTGGTGGAAGCTCCATCCTCAGAGGTTTTTAAAACCTGACTAGACAGAGCCTTGGCTGGGATGATCTAGTTGGGGATGATCCTGCTCTAAGCAAGGTGCTGGACTAGACGACCTCCTGAGGTCCCTTCCCAGTCTAATTTTCTATGAATCTAATAGGGCAGGGCACGGCTGGCTCCTGAGGGGAGGTTTAAGGACGAGGGAGTCACCTATTGCCGACTTGGTCACTCTGCCTTTGACTGTGGCGTTGCCCCCGTTGAGTCCCAAAGCCACCTTCCTCCTCCGCGGCGCTTTCCCCGACCGCTTCGGGCGGCCGCTGAGCCCGGCCCGGCGTCTAGGAGGATCCGCCCCGCGCCCTAGAGCCGGGAGAACAGAGCTGTTGAGAAAGGCGGGCAGGGGATGTCCGCCCCGCTCCGGCCCGGTACCCGCCGCACCTGTCTCCTCCAGCAGCTCCAGCCCCTTGCGCAGCAGCACCGCAGACATTCTCCCCGCTTCACCCACGTGGAGCCGACTTCCGGGTGCCAAGTTCCGGTTTCCGCTCCAGTACTGCCACACTTCCGGTATGCTGATCCCCCGCGTTCTGCCACACTTCCGAGACCGAGGCTGGTGGAAACCCGAGCTCTTTCGCCCCTTTGCGCATGCGCAGGGGGAACTGCTGGGTGGGAGCCTGGAGCTAGCTGCCCGGGGGACGGAGGTGGTGCTGCTGCAGCCTCCTTTGCCCACTCCAAGCAGAGGCTCGCTGCAGTCTGGGTTTAGCTGTTACTTGAGAGCAATTGTTTGACTTCAGCTAGTGCTGGCAGCGACAGGGGGAGGAGGAAAGTTTAGCCTCCCCCTCATGAACATCCCCATAGAAATACTGAAGAAATAATTGCTAAAAGCTCCCAGTGCTTCTCATGGTCCTGTCACTCAGTAGTGACTGGGAACAGGGGTCCCTCTTTGCCATGCACACACTTGATTAAATGACATCCATTTCCTGGTAGTCCCCCTAGCTCCAGCCTCTGCAGCTGCCACCTCCGTGCCTGCCCTTTACTACTAGACCCCACTGATTCTTACAGGACAGCATCCACTGGCTCCTTCAGTACATTCAGGGGCCAGTGGGCACTGGTGGTGTTTTCTGCTTGTTATTTTCCCTTGGGACTGGAGTGATGAACCTATAATCTGCATGCCCATTCCTGATTTTTCATCCTTTGTCCAGCAGCCTGCTCCAAACTGTTAAGGGAAGCTTGTAGTTTCCAGGTGGATGTAGGCCCACTGTGCCTGAATAACAAAGAGGCCTGTCTTTTTTGGATATTTTCTGTGGATCTCTATCAGATGGCTCAATAGTGCAAATTTTCTTGGGCAAGGTCTTTTCTACCCTTGCTCATACTTGCTCAAAGGTTGGGAAGTGTTATCTGTGCACTAGTTATTTAACATGCCACAATTCTGTGCGATTCCCCTTCTGTAATCCATGATTGCCATTTATGGATTGCCTTGGAGAAACAGGTCATTTGAGGTGCGATACAAGGCACTTCCTCATTCACTGACTTTCCTTTCTTCTCTTCAGTTCCCAGGGCTGAGCGAGTTGGCTCTATATTCCTACTTGAGTTTGGATCAACACTGCTAACTCCTCTCTATAATTCGAGTCAGCCCACCAGAGTAAAGTTTAATGAGCTCTCAGGGAGCCCAGGTGCTGAAAAGAAGCGGAGCAGTTTCATTAACTACATGAGCTCTGCTTCAGCTGAGTCTGCTCAGGCTTTTAGAACTACAGTGAACTGGTTAATTAGTTACTGAGAGAACTCCTTTCTCTGGGCTTATTACTTGATGCACTGAATTCCTGCCAGAGTCCTATTGATTTGTACACAAAACATTCTAGCTAATTCCTCATCTGTTAAAGTGTAATTAGTCATTTCCAATGTACACAGGTACTAAATCATAATGGCATTTGCTCCTCATAATTAGTAGGCTTAAAAAGTACTGCCCTCCACAGCACCTGTCAAGCTAGTTGATGCTCACAGAAACACTGGTTACTCTTCAGCTTTTCTTGGCTTATCAATCATTCCATTTTGCAAGATTATCATCTTTTTTTGGTGATGAGTGCATGTAAGTTTGCAAAGCAAAAATCTTAGACTGGTTATTTTAGGCCAGGATAGTCCCATAATTTTTACGAAGCAAGCACAGAATTTTTATAGTAAGAAGTTGTACATCAAGCATTTATTTATATCATCATATGATTTTCATAGAGTGAGTCAGGGTGCATACCATTTGCATGCTGAGTTTTCTTAAATTTATCTTTTCTTATAAATGCCAAAATTTTACCTTTACTGTGTCTTGATATAACATGCAAAAATGTATCTTATGAATAATTGAACATGTCTAACTACTGATAATTCAGCATTTGAGGACAGTCAGCCATCATTACCGGTCTCGGATCTTTTTTTTTTCTTGATAGTAAATTAACTAGATTTTACTGTATTTGCTACACTGGCATCCTGAAAGGTTTAACACCAATATTAACATAATCGGGCCCCGGTTAGTAATGTGATATATTTCCCCTGCTTTAACTGCAGTATTTCAACTCCTAGAACAATCCTGAGATAATCTATCAGCCTAGTCAATAGATTTCATAACACCTACTACTGTTAAACAATAATTTATGTCCATTCTGTTACTGAATTGGCATATGGCAGCTTGACCACTTACTTATGCACCCCTTTACTTTGACATGACTTCTGCTCATGAATGCTTGGACTTGGCTATTGTGGCAATGCTGGTGTATGCAATGATTGTGCATTGCTGACTTTGGTAACTATGGCATCTGTCATGTGTCTGCTGTCTGTCACTGATACAGATTTTCTCATTACTTTTGATAAGAAATGAGAATCTTTTTTTTCTTTTTTCCCCAGTGCCAAACACAATCAATTTTTTAGCAACCCCCTTAGAAATTTATCAATCATTTGTTGACTTGAAGTGAATTCTGCTAGTTTACCGTCCTCTTAAATCACTATAGATTTACTCTCCATTCATAGATTTTTAAAGCTGAAGGGACCATAAGATCCAACCTTTATTACACATGCCATAAGACTTTACCAAGCAGACCCTGAGACAATAATTTGAACATGATTAAAGCCTGTCTTACAGAAAGGCACCCAGTCTTGATCTGAAGATGCCAAGAGATGGAGAATCATTTTTTTCCTTGATAGTAAGTCCCAGCAATTAATTACCTTCAATATAAAAAAGTGCATTTTGTTTCATTGTGGAATATGTATTTCAACTATTCTTTTGTTTTACCAGAATCACTTTTGAATCATTAAGCAGATAGCTTCTACTGGGTAGATTTCTATTTGTTAAAGTTTGTTATTAGGAGTCTCAGTCTTGCCTGGAAAACCTGTTTAGTATTTCACTGTGTTCTTTTAAGGCCCCAGTTCAAATTAAAATATCCTCCAATAGAACTTCAACACCTTGTAATCCCTCCTAAATCCATGCAATCACTCTTGGAAATGCTTTGGGGACAGAATAAATACCAAATGGTACTCATTTAAATGTATAACATCCAAATCAATCACTATCTTTAAGCTTGACTCATCTAACTTTACTGGCAGAAAATGCTGGTCCTGCATCTCAGACTGAGAATATTTTTGCTTCTGAGAGCTCAGCTGTCCTTCAGCAGCTTTCATTCATTTTTCATAGCTTTATTGAAATCATATGGGTCAATGGAAAGCCATATGTTAGCTTTTCAATGGCAGCCATAGAACTAAATACCCTATATGTGGTTCTAACTTTTCAATATCTCCCAGTGTCTCCATATTACATTGGGTTAATTTTCTGCTTTATTTCTTATGGCATCAGAAAATAGAATTTTCCTGGCTGGCTAGATTGCCAAAGTTTCTGATTTTCAACTTCTAAGTCTTGTAAGGCATTTGAGAACTCTCCTACTTTGCTGTCTTGGCTTTTCACAGCATACTTTTTTTTTTGCGTAACTGCCATGACTGGTCAGGTTTTTAATCTTATAGACAGATGTGAATGTTGTTAACTCCTTTGATTTTATCATGAGTTTTGCCATATTCAGAGTGTTTCCTAAAGCATGAGCTTCTAGAATCAAATGATTACATGAGAATTTTAAAGCTAAAAAAGGCATTTTTTAAGCTTGAATATCTGGGGATAAAATGTGGGAAATGTAAACTGAGCATAAAATCCAAAGCCAAAGAAAAAGAATCCTAAATGTAGTATGTTTTTATTTGTTTGTTTTTAAATATTTTGGTTGGGTTTTTGGTTGTTGTTGGGGGTTTTTTTTTGAAGCAAATGTTATGCTTTCTTGTCTCATGCTTTTTGAACACTGAACTTGTCTGTACTGGGGTATATGTTTTCTATTTGGAAAGTTAGACTGATTTTTAAATCAAATTGTAATACTGTAGCGTAGTTACTTACCCTTTCACTATTGCACTTTACATGTGGCATTTGAAAAAATGTTTCTTTCAGTAGCTGTACCGTTTCATTAGTTACCACATTATGTACTTGCATTGGAATCATATTTCAATATGAGCCATATCCTATTTTGCTGTTATTAATGTTTAGCTGTATTTGCCAACCTCAAGTGGTTTGTGTTGTAGTCACTTTACTTGCAAAGGGATATGGATCACTGACTTGCTGTTCTCCAAGTATATAGACACTTCTGGCCTTTAACTGGGTGACATGTGTTTAAATTTTTTTTCCTCCTAAATTTGCTGAATGGCCCACTACATTTGAACAAATGCTGAACCACGCTCTGGTTTGGGCTCTTGAACACATCAAGTGCAAAGATATTTCGGTCTGTCAGAAAGCCTCTTAATCCAATTTTGACTACAATTTTGCTTCCCTTCAATATCCACATAGACTAAGGGCTACTGGTTCTGTACCAGAGTACTGAGAGTGTGCATCTGCATGTCACTAATTTCATAGCTTCAGCAAATGTCTAGGATTCAGGTTAATAGCCAATTTGCTTTCCATTGCGTTAGGTCCTGTACATACACTTACAGGATTAAGATAGTTATTGTCCCTGTCAGTATAGAAAAGGCAGAATTCTTATCCTGGTTTTATAGATGGGCTAGAGGGGCACAAAGATTGGGCAGCCCCTTATTGGCAGAGCTGTGACAGAACTGTATGATGAAGCAGGGAAATCTATGGAGTTCCAGTGCAATACTCAGTTATGAGGCTGTTCTTCCCCTCCAAATAAGGCAGAAATAAGGAACACAGAGAAGACCTCTTGAGAGAGGCAAGCACTTTGTTAGTACTAACCCAGGAGCAATGCAGGGGGCAAGGGTTTTGCTAGGTCTTATTATTACTTTTTTTTTGCCAATTACATGATTTGGGCTGGGGAGGGAACTAATAATAATTTTGTTGGACACTCCAGCCTTCTGGCTAATTTCAACCCTGATTGGGTAGTAGTGGAGGAAGCCCTCTGAGTAGCTGCTTGCCCCAGTGCCAGCCTGCCAGGGGTATAACAACCAATTAGCTGTTCAGGAGGTAGGGATCCCCTCAGTAGCTCCGCACCATTTTCCCTGGGAGAGGAG